CAGCTTTGTCTTCCCCTTGAGAGCGAGGGGGGGATGTGTAAAGTAAGGGGGGGTGGGGTAGGGGGGGGACCTCCCTCCCTTACTTAACACCGCTCATCCTACCTGCCCTGCGGGGGGAGCTAGTCCTAATAAGCAGCTGTCAGAACAGGACTGTGCCTGGAGAAAGCTGGCTGGGGTCCCTAGACCTCAAAGCGATGTATACTTAACACCGCTCATCCTACCTGCCCTGCGGGGGGAGCTAGTCCTAATAAGCAGCTGTCAGAACAGGACTGTGCCTGGAGAAAGCTGGCTGGGGTCCCTAGACCTCAAAGCGATGTACAGCGCTGCATAGCTAACCCCCTGTCCTCCCATCACCAGGCCAGTGCCTGTAGCCAACCCACCTCACCTGCCCAACTTCCACCTGCACGGGTTGTATCGCCGCCCGCAGAACCCTGGACAAGGACATCAGTCCCTGCCCCAGCGTTGTTCTGGCCCAAATCCCAGTTTGCCCCCACTTTGTTGTATTGACTTGCTGGTTTGCAAAACACCGGTGGCTTTATCAAAGGGCTGCCCAGAAGAATGCAAAACATGATAAATGGCGACCACGCTAAAAAGGGTGAAAAACATTTTCAAATTACATTGGGGAGGGGGGGGAAGGAAGAAGAGAATTCCACAGTTCTGATGCTGTGATCCTGGTGCTTCAGGGTGTTGAAGTGGAAGCTCCACAGAATGTTTAGATTGTAAACACTTCCAGGTGCTGCATCTTCTGTGTGGTTTATAAAGTGCCTAGTCTATTTTAAGAACTAAACATATAATGAAATAATAGTTTGCATTGCAGTGCATTCACTTAACTTAAGCTTTGTTAATGCGAAAAAGAAGAGTGAACAATTGCATGGAGCTGTATAGCAAAATGAAGGCAGAAAAGAATGAAGTTCTGTAAACATCTGAGCTAACTATAAGCCAAATTCTCAGAGGCATGGGGATTTAGTGGCTAGATACCCCCATGAGGGGCACCACCTAACAACTTGAATAGAACAGAACTTTTATCAAATGCAGTGTCAACTATACCAAGTTCCTGTTAACAGTCTGAGCATGTATGTCTTGAGAAGCCACTTTTATTTCTTTATCATTATGAAGTGGTTCCTATATTGACTATAGGTTTTCACTCAGGTGCTGCTCCTTTCGGATGCCATTAATGAATGTACAGTATAATATTTGATTGATAAAAGGTGGCTGGCATTCTTTTGGACGCTGTATAAAATAATAAGGTTTGCACACCAGCATGGCACCTTGTTAATTGTATGTACAAATAGCTTTGGTTAAAATGTATATTTTCTTAATAACTTTTTTGGCAACATTTTAAACTTCTCCAGACCCGAACACAGTAATTTTTCATCAGCAGTCTGGGGGACTGGATCACCAACTGCAAGAATTGTATTATTCTTGACATGAGTTCGCTTTTTCCCTTCATGGTACTTGGAAGACACGTTTCTGAACCAGATTGTTTCTGGTTAAATGGATGGACCCTGGCCCAGTTTGTGTCGGCACTGGTGGCTAAACTTCAGAATGAATCCTTATGCAGCACATTCAATGTGTTTCTCGCATATCACTTGGCACTCATCAATATTCACTTGTGGCCTTCTGGAAAACTGACTCTTCCATGGTGTGAGTGCTGCTAATAGTGCTCTCTCTTTCTTCTGTTTGACACAGTAAAAATAAGTGCTTTATTCCAAATGAGTGTTAAATAATAACAGTGGGAAAATAGACAAATGTCCTGTGTGTGGTGTGAGACTGCACAATGTGCCAGCAGTCATGTGAATGTTCTGACAGAATCGTTTTGTAATTGATTTGTGTGCCAAAAAAGTTTTGTTTTCCTGTTCCTAGATGTGATATGTATTCACAAACTTAAGATAACATTTTACTATTTTTACTCGTTGAGCTAGCACTGACAGTATTCTGAGCCATATACAATGGACAGGTCATTGCCACAAGTGCTTTCAGTCCAGTATGACATTACTGAAGAGGTCATGTGATCACTTAAAAACAAACAAACCCCTACTTGAGTGGTGCATTAAACCTGATGGACTGAATGGCAGAAATGTGTTTTTTGAACAGGAATTTGAAAGAAAGATGTTGGGAGCTTGCCTCTCTAAAATAGCAAGAGTCTTCCAATTCTTAATAGCAAAATTTGGTGCTTTCCAGACAAATCTGTACATGTTTGGATATGTAAAGAAAGATACCTTTGTTCTCCTGTGAAATTCTGATCTTAATGGAATATCTTATTTGGAGCCATTGTATGTGCATAACTCAGCACGGTATGGATTCTGATTATTTGCTTTGAAAAAATCTTTTTGCTTTCCATGAAACAGAGCTGGCAGCTCTTTGCAAATACAGCCATAGAGTGTAACATATTACTTCATAAATTAGACTTTTGAAACTTTATATTATTATGACTAACTGGGGTTGAGAGTGTGAGGGAGAGCGAAACATGTGGGAGGAGGGACTTATGCTTCTAGAGATGCCTGAAAATTCTGCCCCTCCCCAGATTAATATTTTTTAAATTGGTGGTAATTTTGTAATTTACTATATATGCAATTTGTCAGGCCAAAATGGGCATTGCTAACTGCAGTTGGTAACTTTTCTGTCTCAGTGTCTGAAAACATTGGTGTTATACGAGACTCAAGTCAACTGCCACACTGACTGGTAACAAGGGAGAAAATGGAAAATATTTCACATGAGAGAGACTGTTGGGATTTATCTTTCATGTGTGTTTGAGTAAAACACTAAAATGTGTTTCAGATCTCCTGACACTTGCTTACACGAGTAAATTGTACAGATTTAACTAAAGTGAGTTAGAAATTTGTGTGAATTTGGTGAATACTCTTTGAGTGCCTGCTTTTAGGGCTTGTCTAAAAGTGTCAAAATAACAAATTGGGTATAATTCACACTTAGTTATTTGGAGGTAGTTTGAGTGTGGACACACTTATTTCAGACAAAGTGCCATATTTGGCTTCTTATAACAAAATTGGTCACTTAAGCCAAAATAAACGCTCACAAATTTACACTGAAATAACTAAAGATGTTATTTACAATCTATTTTTTGTATTTCTGTTGCAGATATCACATAGACAAGATGTGCTATGGATCTCTAAAGACCTTATTAGGCAGCCTTACACAGAAACAGTGTCCACACGGGGGCTGCACTAATTGAACTAAAGCAGATTTTACTGGTTCAGTTAAGTTGGTATTGGTATAGCTTTCCCATATAAACAAGGCCTAATGTAGTTCACTTTCATTTGCTAATGTAGTTCACTTTCATTTGTTTTCGGAAGGTCTCAAATTCTGCAGTAACAACTTCAAACCCTGAAGGCAGGAACCATGGCTGGTGTGTGCAATGCCATGTATGCTAATGGAATATCAAAGCTTTTATTTTCATCAAAATAGGTATTAACATTAATTTTGGAGTGGATCCTGATGTGTGCCCAGTTGCTAAAATAGTTAATATTAAATTTCAGAGGCGTAGCATGGTAGGCTGTATTAGCAAAACCACTTTGTCAGATGAGCTTATGCCCAAATAACTCTTAGTCTTTAAGGTGCCACAGGACTCCTCGTTGTTTTTACTCAATATTAAAGTTTCCGTAGGACTGTCACTGATGCTATTTTAAAGGCAATTAAAACTTCTCTGTAAAGTTTGCTTTTTTAATTGAAATTCTATACAGTAGTTCTCTGTGAAAAGATAATTGGAAAATCCAGTAACAAGTCTTTCCGAAGCTGACACTTATGTCTTCCTTCTTGTTTCTTAAATGAACACCTTTCAGGAGAAGCTACAGAAGTTTTATAATAGTCCAGGAAGAGACTTTCATGCTTGATCATCAGGTCATGTTGATAGAGGGAAGTCCTGTTATGTCTCTTATCTGTTACTAAAAATTCATAATGGAGAATACTACGGTGCTTGTAGTACATACAAGAAAAAAGATAGGAAAAGATGTTCCCTTGTTTAGTAATGTTTTACGCTGTTTTGTTGGATACTTTAGAAAATTACTTTGGAATATTAAATATTGATAGTTTTGTCTAAATACAGTCAATTTCACCGGCCTTTGATTTTTTTATCGTTTTGTAATTTTATACTTTTCAGTGATCTACAAGAGAGGAAAATCAGTTTGCTGGCTGGAAAATTCTTTAGAATAGCCAGTAAGAGTCTTAAATAATTTTACTGATTTCCTTTTGCACACATTTTGGGATACACCTGAAGTAGGGTTGTGAAAGGTTAACCCGCTTACTGGTTCTGGTTAACCGATAATCAATGGGGGATGGAGCAAATGGGGCCTGCTGTGGGCAGGGGACTGTTTCTACACCCCTTTTAATCCGTTAACTGGTTAAACAAAGTTTAACCAGTTAATCAATTAAATTTGATTTTATATCCCTAACCTGAGGTCCTCCAATATAATCTGAATCAGAAATTGTTTTTCATTGGTATTCCTAACTTTCATTTTTGGAGCAATTTCCAAGTTCTTTAAATATATAGCAAAGTATTGCCATTACTTTGGAAGCAGTGGATTAAATTTGGCATGTGAGATGTGGCATGTTATTACCAAGACTTCCCAGCAATGCCTTACTAAAGGAGTTAAAAATATGTTTTTCATTCTTCATTCATTGAAATCTATTTAGGCCTTTCCAGTATTATTAATGTCACTTTAAAATCTAACACACAATATTGTTGTAGGATGCAATGCCACTAAGTGAAATGTATACAGTCTGGGCTATGTGACAGAGGTGAACAGAAGCACATGGGTTTCACTTCCCTTAGAAAACTAAAGGCTCCTTTAACAGAAGTGAATACTAAACTGCCTGCATCCCAGCTGGTGCTCTTTAACCCAAGTATTTAGCTAGTGATGGGCTTGCATTGTTGTAAAGTGGGCTATTTGCATTGAGTTTATAGTGCTTCTGTTCATTGTGTGTAGGGTGATCAAAACAGGTGGAAAAGGGAGGAGGAGTGGTGAAAGTTGAATGAGACAGATACCATGAAGCCAAACTTTTTTTAAATTTTGCATTTTATTTGATAAAATAGACGGTTGTAGCTTTTGTGTTCCTGTGAATACATGTCCATCTGCTCTAGAATGCTTATAGTTACTGCTGGCGCCTGTTCAGCTGTCGGCATGTTCACTACAACTGAAATTCTCAATCAGCTGCCCCATCCTTCCTTATAAAAATGTAGGCGTTCTTTCAAAGAAAAACAAAGGTCAAGCTAAATTTCAAAAGAGCCTGGCATAGAAAAGTCGATCAAGTTTTGAACGTAATGAAATTTTCATGTGCTTTGACTCGGAGACATGTTTAAGTTGAGTGTGTTTTTAAATGAAAGGAGTCGGTTGATTCACAGGAATTCCTAAAAGAAAAAACTCCCAAAGACACCAGCATTAACTGAGGCAGATGTTTGAATCTTCAACTTCTTTCAGTACTATAAAGTAACTGCTTGAGGAGTCTCCTTCAACTTACTGGTGTAGAGTGGCTTAAAGAAAATTCCTGAATTCTTATGCATCCAAGAACAATTATGCAAATTTAGTGTTGTCTTCATATGAAGAACTTTATAGCAACAGCAGGGTACAGAAAAGGTGATTAGACACCAGATGTGATTCTATCAGCACCACACTTGTCAGCCATTCTGTAGGGGTTTTTTTGGAAATGAGGGAGAATAATACTAGGAGAACCTCCTCTTCAAGACCTGAAGCACAATTTCTGAAAATGACTTGTGTGGTACAATCACCAAACTTTGTAAAACTGTGTCTGGCTGGGAATTGCTTTTTTATAAGTCCTATTAAGGGCTTGGCTTTATTGTTTATTTTTGGGAATAAGGTGGGGGGGGGGAGGGAAGGATGAGAGAGAGAAAAATAAATTGTTTCTATTTGGGTTTGAAATTATCTACTGTCGCTAGTCGTATTATGCTGATTGCATAACATGGCGTGAAATGTCACTATGATTTTGCTCATTGATTGTGATGCAGACATTTTAAAGTTTTCTCTCTGTTCATTCTTCTTACTGTGTTATGCATTATCACCAAGGGTATTTCTAAATCAGAGATTTTTCATATCTTCATAATAACAAATGTTTTATAGAAATAACAGGTTGGTGAGCACATCGTTATGCAGAAAATATTGATCTGCAGATACAGATCAGTTATTTTAAGTCAGAAATATTACACAAGTTATTCTGTTAGAAGTGAACAATAGCTTTCTGTTCCTATAAAGAGGGAGTTTAAAGGGGAATGATATGCTGGGAGTCAGGAATAAAGTAGTTCGGAGATTAGATTGTATTTCAGATCTGTCTTCAATCCAACCGTCACTACCTGAAGACAACAGAAGCCGCAGTACCTGAAGACAACAGAAGCTATTTCCTGCAAATATTATTACTTTTTCTCAGAGCTAGATGGTAATTTTATCAGGAAAGAATTATTTTGAATTCTTGCAAGAGATGTGTGAACACTTATGACATACTTTTGGTTCCAAGTTTTGTAAGCTATGCTGTACCTTCAGTGCAGAGTGCTAAAAACTTGTACCACTTGTACATGCATTTAATTGAGGTTGCAGCAGGAGTTGTTTCTTCAGCCTAGAAATACACTTTGGGAGAGACAGTTAAGACCTTAACTTTCCCAATCTTTTTACATGCTGAATGGAAAGCCCTTTTTCAGTCTCTGCTTCTGTTGCTCTGAGGACAGCAAGCCTTGATGCTATTTGTCAGACACTTTTTGGGTGCTGTGAGAAGACTGCATGAGCAATCCAGTTTGAGCCTACAAAACAATATTTGAGGCTGCTTGTTAAAACTTACTGCAGTCTGCCAGATAAAAATAGAAAGGAATTGATTATAAACAAGTTTTTTCTGGGAAATGCCTTGAATTCTGATACTGCTGTAAGAATTCCTCTGTCAGCGGTCTTTTGAATGTCTATCCAAAGAGAGGCTACATCCTATTTAAGATATATCTATAGCAAACAAATTGTGTACGCTTGTTTTGTTCAGTCTAGAAATTTTGACATTGGGGTTACACTTATTACAATAAAAGTTATGTAGCTCTTCTTACACTTACTAAGGTCAGAATTGTCAGTATTTTTTTTTTTTTGGCCCCAGAGTTCTGATATTCTTGATATATTCATGTTGTCAGAGAACTTTGTATTGTGTTTGCTTTAGTACCACATTGGATTTAAATGTCAACAGCATATGTGTGAATACCGAAGGATCCAAAAGCTCATGTGCCGGAGGAAACTATCCAAGCTACTTGGAGCTGCAAAATTGAGTTGGAAATTTCACAAGAACAGCTTGATTTGCAGCATTTTGGATTCATGCTTCATGTGGGCGAAAACAGTGGAGGAAAAGGATCATGTTGACTTTGTTAAAAATACCTGAATAAAGTTTTGGATGAAAATTTGGAGGGGAAAATGGTGTTAGTTGATCTGATTTCGCTCATCTCCAATAAGTATGTTCTATCACGAAACCAAATGAGTAAAGAACATGAGTGTGAGTGATAATCCTTTTCCAAATATCAACGCTTATATCTTTGGCCTCCAGCCACAAGTTTCTTTACAAGACTGTAAAGAATTATTAAACTGATGCTACAGCAAGGGAAGTGACATGCTATTTCTTGTTGCGATGTGGGTGTGTGTGGGGCATGCTGGAGTTGGGTGTGTCTCAATATGGAGGACTAGCTTTTGAAGCTCCCTCCTTGATGATGTCCGGAGTCGGCTTGGCTGTTCTCCAAACTTCTCTGGGTTACTTATGGACATTTAACGTTCCTTTGTTTTCTCTCTACATAGATCGGGGAGGAAGGTTATTGGGGAGTGGAAGTTGCAATAGAACTTTATTTTTGAATATTTTCCTGAACAGTGCACAGGTGTCTCTTAGCTATGTAGCTTAATACGTTTAAATGTTTACTGGCATCATGTACTTCACTCTAAGGGTATGTCTACACTACCCCCCTAGTTCGAACTAGGGGGGTAATGTATGCATACCGAACTTGCTAATGAAGCCCAGGATTTGAATTTCCTGGGCTTCATTAGCATAAAGCGGGCTCCGCCATTTTTAAAAGCCGGCTTGTTCGAACCCCGTGCCGCGCGGCTACACGCGGCACAGGCTAGATAGATCGGAATGGCTACATAGTTCGAACTATCTGTACACCTCGTTCCACGAGGCGTACAGATAGTTCGGAATAACTACATAGTTCGAACTATCTAACCCGTGCCGCATGTAGCCGCGTGGCACGGGGTTCGAACAAGCCGGCTTTTAAAAATGGCGGAGCCGGCTTTATGCTAATGAAGCCCGGGAAATTCAAATCCCGGGCTTCATTAGCAAGTTCGGTATGCATACATTACCCCCCTAGTTCGAACTAGGGGGGTAGTGTAGACATACCCTAAAATACTGGTAAAAGGGGAAAGAAACAAACTATTAAGGCCTCCAAGGGTTCTCTCGTCAAAAAGGCTTGTGTAAAAATGTTTCAAGTAATTGATCATTGTAAATATTTGTAGTTATTCTTAATAAACACTTTACAAATCTTTGAAAACACACCCCAATTAATCTTTATGGAACTGTATTTGCTCAACTATCTTCCAAGTGCATCCTACATGCTCTTAGACAGCACTTACACCTAAGAGCACCTTCATTAATCAAAATGTGAGCTTTGTGGCTTAATTAGACAGTGTACCATTTTGTAAGCTTCTGAATAAGTTACAATTCAGCAAAAAGCTGGTCTGCGTTATCATCAGCTCGATGGAAGATACATCATCTATGTAGCCACGTAACTGAAAGTGATGAAGATGGGTAAACATTATGTTCATCTTGTAAAATTGACACGAAGGATAAAATTAACTGAATAATGAGCTTAGCTGACAGGATAAATCAGAGAATACAGTACCACGTGTTAGTGTTGGGCTGGAGCCTGTTTCATCCACTTGGACTGAGCAAATGGTAGCAGTCTAGAGAGAAGTCTTAACTGTTTGCTTTGGGGTGCTTTTTCTTTAGATTTGTTGAAAGTATTCTCTTCATTGTGCTAGTTGCCATCTTCAGCTGGTCTTCAAAACTAGTCAGTCAAATTATTATTGAGGGTGCAAATATCAGACAGATGTGGGCAGACCTACGAGTTGATCCTATTGCATTGAAATTGAGTGTTTTGCCATTGACATCCATGGGAGCTGGAACCTGACCTAAGATAGGATGCCTGGTCACCGCTACACCAAAAAGTTAAAATGTATGGCTTAACCACCATGTAAAAGAAGCAGTGAGGGACAAAAAGGCATCTTTTAAGAAGTGGAAGTCCAATCCTAGTGAGATAAATAGAAAGGAACGTAAACACTGTCAAATCAAGTGTAAAAATGTAATAAGAAAAGCAATAAAAGATTTTGAGGAACAGTTAGCCAAAAACTCAAAGAAATAACAAAATGTTTAAGTACATTAGAAGCAGGAAGCCTGCTAAAAAACCTGTGGGTCCCCTAGACGATCAAGATATAAAAGGAGCAATCATGGACGAAAAAGCCATTGTGGAGAAACTAAATGATTTCTTTGCTTCAGTCTTCACGGCTGAGGACGTTGGGGACATTCCCAAATCTGCACCGTCCTTTGTGGGTGATGAATCTGAGGAACTGTCCGGGATTGAAGTGTCATTAGAGAAGGTTTTGGAACAAACAGAAAAACTTAATGTTAAATCTCCGGGACCAGAAGGCATTCATCCAAGGGTTCTAAAAGAGCTCAAATGTGAAATTGCTGAACTATTATCTGTGGTTTGTAACCTATCCTTTAAATGGGCTTCTGTACCTAATGACTGGAAGGTAGCTAACGTGACACCAATATTTAAAAAGAGCTCTAGAGGCAATCCTGGCAATTACAGTCCGGTAAGTGTAACTTCAGTACCGGGCAAATTAGTCGAAACAAGAATAAAGAATAAAATTGTGAGGCACGTAGAAGAACATAATTTGTTGGACAAAAGTCAACATGGTTTCTGTAAAGGGAAATCCTGTCTTACTAATCTATTAGAGTTCTTTGAAGGGGCTAACAAACATGCAGACAAGGGGGATCCAGTAGATCTAGTATACTTAGATTTTCAGAAAGCCTTTGACAAGGTCCCTCACCAAAGGCTCTTGTGTAAATTACATGGCCATGGGATAAGAAGGAAGGTCCTTTCATGGACTGAGAACTGATTAAAAGACAGAAAACAAAGGGAAGGAATAAACGGTAAATTTTCAGAATGGAGAGGGGTAACTAGTGGTGTCCCCTAAGGGTCAGTCCTGGGACCAGTCCTGTTCAACATATTCATAAATGATCTAGAGCAGGGGTGCCCAAACTTTTTTCAAAGAGGGCCAGATTTGATGAAGTGAACATGCGTGAGGGCCGACCATTTTGCCTGACATTCTTTGAACTGTTAAAATTAAATGCAAATTAACTATTTTATGCAAAGTTTATTGCAAACGGCATACTTTTCATTTCGTCACATGGATGACAAATCTAAACAGGTGTTAAATCACTCTGCCTTTCATATCTGAAGGCCAGATGAAAAAAAAATCCAGGAAGCTGAAATATATGTCAGGAACATTGTAAAGTACATTACATATTATTGGTAATAAAGGTTGTCTGTCAACTTTTAAGTTCAAAAAATATGAACAGGAACATAACACCAAGTATACATGTTGTGTCCAAATATATTTATAACTGATTTAGACCAACTGACATTAACTGAGATTTTACAATGTATTCATCTCAATACATATGGATTCGTTGGGGGCCATAAAAGATAGATATTGCCAAATTACCTGTGGGGCCGTATTAAAACGGAACATGGGCCGCAATTGGCCCGCGGGCCGGACTTTGGACATGCCTGCCCTA